ATACCAAATCAATCTTTTCAGTGGCAATTCCGCCAGAACATCTTTTCAACCACACTTTTCTCTTGTACTTTTCAGTGGATGGAACCCGATAGTCAAGATATAAAGAGTAAAAGTTTTCCTGTTTTTGACATCGGGGTATCACATATATGTGGGAACCAAGATATTGTGAATCCTTGTTATTGGTTAGTAAGAGCAGATGGGTTTTATATTTCTAAGACAAATTATCCTTTTCCATTCGGTTGGCAATTTATGTATTCGTGGTGAGATTATTATGCAGTATATGAACATAATTTAATAAAAATTATATATTTTAGGCCTTTCAACTCTGTTTGTCCTTTTTTATTTATATCATGTTTAAGTTTTGACAATAGAATCAATCTCTGATATAATTATAATTTCTTAGCCGATATAATTAGGGGTGTTCATCGGTTGAAATCCATTAGATTTAAGTGGATCGGATCAGTATTACTAGGTTATCCATTGAATCAGATTGAATTTATTAAATATTTTGAAACAATTTTCAATCAATTAATCAATTGTTTCAGTCAATATTTTGGATCTGATGACTTTCAACATACCCTTAGATGTAGTTCAGTATAGTTTTCTTCTCATAGCTTAAAATAATACAACTTTGTTTTCGAAGCTTGAAATAGTAATACATATAAGTCTATAAATGTCCTATAGACACCCACTCTAATGAGAAAAGGACAGATTTTTTACCTATCAATAAAATATATATATATATATATATATATATATATATATATATATATATATATATATACAAATGTTAACCAAAGTTTTTGTGTTAACTTTGTTAACCGATCTTGGCCATTCAATCTTTCAATAAACGGTTGTGATTAATCATGATAAAAACTTATTTTTTTAAATTTAAAATTGCATAAAGATAAGTGAACAATGTTGAAAAAGGTATTTAGGTAAAAAAAAATGTATGTAACTCCCATATCATTAATTAATTGGGAATTACAAAATCAAAAATTATATGATTTTTTTTTGTTAATGTAAGAACCATATGAACACAACTATATATATATATAAATCATTGTGTCAAATACGAACAAAAATTTGACATATATTTAAACTTGGACTGCATAGCATTTATGAACACAATATGAACATAATAAGAATAACTGTTATACGAAAGAAAATAAATAAAAAAACAGGCATGAATACGATATGAACAGCTTGTGAACAATAGTTCATTAATTATAAACACATTCAAGAGTGATACTTTGTCAATTGGAGTTTTATACATGCATTGCATCCACACCGTTTAAGGTTCACCCCTTGTTCATATATGTTTCTGATCTTATATAGTTGTTCACCCATTGTTCATATCGTTTCACCTCTTGTTCATATCGTATAAAATATATGAACACATAACCCCAACGTTATGAACACCGGGTGCAAACACTTACACAAATATAAAGATTTGGTATCAAACTTAAAAATAACATTTCTGTTCATATGATAGAAGTAACATGAACACAATGGTTCATGATTCATAAAAGTTGGTAATATGGCAATATGAAAATAGGTCGTGCATGTACTTTCATTTGAACATGTGAATTAGGTACGTATTTTATAATTAAAGAAAAAAGCTATCAATACAAGATGAGTTATAAAAAACACAACACATCGTAATGAGCATAATTTCGATTAAAACGAATCTAAAAAAAATAAAAATCTATTACCAAGACCTTCAATTCCCGACCTCGAACTCCGATTGTCATTATAAACCATTTTAATCTTATAATTGTTGTCGATTTATTTTCCATTGCGTTTATCCATATTAGCTTGATCGATACCGAAAATTTTTACTGTCGTGTTTTCTATGCGAATTAAAAACTGATAAAACAATAAACATGGAAAGATCAAGATTAAAAAAATAAAAATATTAATATTATAAATGCATACTTTTTGGGATTTGATGATTTGTAACTCCCTATTAATTGTTTGGGAGTTACATATCAAATAAATTTACTGAAATACCTTTGTAATTAAAATATGAACATGACATAAACCTACAAGAAGAATGAAATTTGATTGGTTGCCATAGTTTTCAAAGTTAACACAAAGTTGTTGGTTAACACTTGATCTTCCCCCTATATATATATATATATATATATATATATATATATATATATATATATATATATAAGGAAAATCCATGAATTAATGAGGTGTCACTTCCTAATACTTAGAATCTCTCCGAGGTTTTTTAGATGTTGAATATGTTGATTTTTTAGATGTTGAATATGTAAAAAACGATTTTTTCGCCCTTGTATGAAAAATGTGTAGTTCATTATTAACCAAGGTTTTTTTTGGTAATTTTGTATACCCAAGTTTAATCTCCAACTCTTGATTTGCTCTTCGATTTACTTTCTTTTATTTCTAATGAAATTTGTTTTTCAAAGTTTCAATAATAAACAAAATGAAATCCAAGAAATTCCTTTGGTGAGAGTTGAAGAAGACTTGAAAGATTTTTAAAGATATGCAGAGTGATTAAAAATTACGTTAAATTTTGACTACTTCAAGATTTTTTTCAATTGATAGAAATCCTTTGATGATAGATGAATAAATGAGAGTTGAAGAAAACTTAAAAGATTTTAAAAATGTATGTAAAAGTTATATTACTTAGAAGATGTGATTTGTTATTACATATTTCATTTTTTTCAGTATTTGTTGGATTTGTTGTTATCATAGGATATGATTGTGTTTATGATTGTGTTTATGATTTGATATTTTGTGATTATAAGATACGATAAAAAAAAAATCGAATTTAAACTCCGTTGAATATAACTATTTATACATGATTGATAATTACGTTAAATTTTGACTATTTCAAGATTTTTTTATTGGCGTTAATATTTTAATTCAATAAAATATTTTATTTTTTATTGATAATATATAAAGCAAAGTTAAACCCCAAAGTTTAATGAAACACTATATTTCATATTTTTAGTTTTTCCATAGTTTTGATGTATTTTTTAAATGATTTTATCACATGTAAAACTTTTTTTACTTTTCTATCTAATTTAAATTAAAATATGACGATCAATATATCATGAATATATTATCAAATTCAAATTTTCATCTTTTATATCTATCATTTTCTTTCATACATTTCTTTGTTAGAAAATCAATATGTCTCATTAATTGATTAAAGTTTCATATATATATATATATATATATATATATATATATAGAGGTTGTTTATTATACAACCCTTGACATTTGTGCAACCAATACAACTCAATTTCAACCGTCCATTTAATTTGATTAATATGTGATTTCATAGAAATTTTGATTGTTTCTTAATATAAAGTATTGATCATAATTAATGAATCATATTCATTTTTCATAAATATTCAAATCATAATAAATGAACTCTCATCATTTCCATAAATATCTCAATTAATTGGGTTTCAAGGGTTGTACAAATACACAAAGTTGTAAAAAAAATATACCCTATATATATATATATATAGTTGCTTAGGTGGCATAATGAGAATCCTCAATTCCCGATTTTCTATTTTCTCATGATTTTGATTTTTTTTAAATAAGGGGAGGCTAATGGCACCCCTACTCTTTGCTATTGTCACCCCTAACCCCTTGTGTAATCATTCTCTTTTTGTTTCCTTTTTGTGTTTTTGTCTTTTTCTTATCTTTTTTTATACTAATTTCATTTTACTTAATTTATTTAATTATAAATATATTATTATTATTATAAATATTATTTATTACCTTGTAAAATTTTTATTATTACTAAAAAATATTATTTTTTATCATAATTTTTATAAAAAATATTATATGTTTTATTTTCTTTTTTAAATATTTTTCTTAAAAGACGTTACTTTTTTCTAATAATTATTTTAAAGAAAAAACACCGATTATTGTTTAGAAAAGGGGTAAAACAAAATACTTTTGATTTTTTTAATTTAGATTAATATTTTTTCGAAATTGATTACTTCACATGGGAAATATGAGTTTTTAAAAATCTTTCAAACTTTTAATTCTTATTACTTACGAAAATGATAAAATAAAATTATAATAGAAAAAAATTATAAGGAAATTACTTAAAATGACTATCTTATATATGGTACATTAACAAAATGACTATTTTCAAACATTTCTTAGAAAATAACCATAAAAATCTCCCCTTTAGGGCGATTTACTTTACTGAGGGCAATTTTGTATTTTTTTTTGAGATACGAATGGGTCCCACATATATACAATTTGAGGGACAAAAATCTGATTTTTTAACATGTTCATCATAATTGCCCCCACACTATTGAAAATCGCCTCCGGGAGCAATTACGACCCTTATTTTGTCCTGTAATGGAAATATATTATGACACAACTTTTTGGTTGATTTGACAACTCAATGACGACGTGACTAGACATGAGGGCAACTTTCATTAGCATTTTGTCTTTTTTAAGAATATAACTCTTGTAGTATTCTATATAAAAATATAATAATCCAAACACTTCTATTCGTACAACTCTTAATCTTAACCACAATCTATAATCACAACCCTTAATACAAATATAAAATCACATATATAATATTTAACAGTTGTATCTTTTGAATAAGCCAACCCATTTACTTGGGGAAAGAAAAATCCAATATAAGATGTTAAAATAGTTATTACTATGAAATTTTTGAATTGGATTTAAATCCATAAATCAATAATAACTTCTCCAAAATAAAATATTAAAAGTTAAAATCTTTAAAAATTACATTTAAATCCAATAACTACTATGTTTTAGTAATTCTAACATTAATTATCTTATTACATTATTTTATATATTTAATAAAATATTAATTATAGTTTATATATATAAATGTTTTTTTATTACTGATATTGTTATTTTAATTCATGAAAATCTAATGGAAGGTACCTATAAGTATAATAATCACATGTGCATATTCAAAGAACATGGTAGAAGGTTTTGCAATATAGAAACATGATGTCTGCATGTAAAGTTTGTAAACATATAATGTGATTGGAAATGGTAGTGCTTGTAGATAGATCGATGTATTGGAATGTGGTAATAATAGAAGCAAGCATAACAAGAGGAACAATCTTGCAGAGTTGCAATTGAAAACATTGTGTTTAACTAATCCCATTTAATCTCTCTGTGGAAGGTCCAATCGGACGGGTTAAGCGTCGTTTTTCCATCTGTATAGACTAAATCGTAGGGCGAGTCTTCTGAAAACTCCGTGGGCATGGATTTCCAGTGTAGGCTCGGCTTCCATTCTGCGTCTTTCAGCACTTTTAGTATCTCTTCAACAACTATCTTGCTACCCTCACCTGATAAATGCACCCCATCCCTGCCCCCCTCCCCCATAAAAAAACCAATTTAATTCATAATGAATAATACATGAAATAGTTGGTTCCCAAGCTTTCAAATTATTTTTTACAGACAAGAATACTTACGTAAAACATGCAGTCATCCAATCATCTCGTTTCTGAAATGCAGTCCAAAGATCAATAACTTTCACTCCCATCTCATTGCACAACTCTATGCAAGCTTCTGAATACATTCGACATAACTCATTTGTTCGAACAAGTTCACTAAAAATCGAGCTGTTTTACATGGTGGATCACTGGTTTTAGATGCATTTCTTGAATAGAAAACTAAAAGAATATAAAGAACACTACTGAAAGGTACCTTGTGTTTTCACGAACTCTAACCTCATCCACCGGTGGGGTACTGAGAAAAATTATACGAGTTGTGTCTGAAAGGCCCTGATTTTCACATATTTGTGTCGGTATTAAGTAATTATACAAGTAGAAATTAGACGATAGGGAACATGCTTTCTGTTTTTGACATATTAGTTTCCTAAGATTTATTCGAGTTCATGGATTAAGAACATCTAAAACTTATTGTTCATGGTGGTCTGTTAATCATGTAATCTGTGAAGAAAACATGCTATGGGGGAAAATGGTACCTGGAGATGAGTTGCAATTTTTCTCATGTTCTCGACATATTCAGGAAGAGGGACATGGGGACCAAGACCTGATGAGTGAGGCCCCATTGAATCGTTACCGCCAAAATAAACAATGACCAGCGAAGGCTGATTAGCAGAATCCTAAGACAACACCGTTGAACTCATAAGAGGCGTGTACAGAGTATAAAAGATTCATATGGCTGCAAAAGGTTTACCTTCGGAAAAACTTGATCAAGAACCTTGATAGCACGTCGGGAATTCCAGCCATAGTACCCTCGCAATACTATATCCGCCTGTAGTATAATATAAGTTGCACTCTAGATATAACCAATCACAAAGACCAAAGACAATGTTCAATGAGAAAAAAAGGGTTGGCAAGGGAAGTCTTTATACAAGTCCTTCCCCTTGCATTTTGCAAAGAGGTTGTTTCCATGACTCAAAACCCATGATCTTTTAATCACAACGAACCATAATATAAGAATGGTCATCACAAAAATCAATGAACCATGATCCATGAAGCTGATGCAATAAATAAAACCCAAAAACAGTACAAAAAAAATCAAGCAGCTTCAAAAGCCACACTATCTTAAGTTCCCCTTGTGGCCATGAAGTTCACCTGTGATGACTTCAGGCCGTTCATAGTTGTCCGAGGGATTAGTCGGTCTGCGTAAGCTGGTCTGGAAACCGACGGTTAAAAAAATAGCAATTGATTGTTCCCAAATTTATAACTAGAAACCAGATTGAAAGAACTCTTATCAGAGTGCTCCTTGTTCCTATCTCTCTCCTTTTATTTTCAGAGCATACCAAAATTAAAAATAAAAATTTGAAGAAAATGAGTGCTCTGGTGTGATAACAGAACATGTTTGGACAAAAGTTGATTACCGACAACCCCAACCAGTCCTACACAAACCCACCTCGAAGGACACTAATATGAGAATGGAACATATTTTTTTATTTGTGCTTTTGAAAAGGAAATGAAGGAAAGAAAAAAAAATTATGTTCTTGAACGAGAGAGAAAGGAAACGAAAGATGTCACTTTTACCAACTTACCTTTTAAAAATATATCATTCAGAACGAAAGATTGGGTAGTTTTGTAATATTAATATTTTTTTTTAAAGATTTAAATGTATATCCTTTCCTCCCATATTTTGGGAGCAAAGTTTTGGGAGGAAACTTATCAAATATTTTCTTCCTTTTCCTATCCTTTCTTTCTTTAAAAAGTTTTATGAACACGAGTTTCTTTTATTTTCCTCCTCTTTTCCTCCCTTTCCTTTCCATCGTAGAAGAAAAGGTTCCAAGAACACAGCATCCATCCTTGCCATTGCCATGTCTCCTACAGAATAAATTTCTTTTTGACGCTTTTCATGTTTAATTGGTAAGATAAATGACATAATAAGCGTTCACTTAGTAAGTATTTAGGGAACAGTTAAGTCGAAATTAACAACAGAATCAATTTAGCAAATAATAAATCTATTAATACCTAAATAGAGACGGCAGCACACATTGTAAGTCACAGCTACGACACGAGCTATATACATTTTCTGACAAAACTAGCTGGCGATCAGCAAAACTCTCAACCAAATGGATCAACACGATTCAATTATTTTAGCAAGCCGTACGAAAAATCAGGATGAGGCAACAAGGCGTTCTTCTTCTCTTAGCAAAAGTTCGACCAAAATTGACGATAGCAAGAGAAAAAGAAGGAAATACCTTACGAGCGTAGACGTCGGCGAGAGTGGCGCCCCAACCATCATTGCTGAAACTAAGCTGAACAATTGATGATCCAAACAATACGATCTGAGGCCTCTCTGGTCCGATCATCTCTGTGTAAAAAAGAAACCCTAAACCTAGAAGAGGGAAGCACGTAATCTGTTAGTTGGAGTTAGATAGGTATATATGGGAAGAGTAGTAGATGATGGGTGCAGGGGATGGAGGAGATGATGATTTCTCTTCAATTGGTCTTCTGGTCACATTTAGCAACTCCTAACCACCCTCTTTAATTCAAATGTTACCTTCCGTTTTTCCTTTTAATTCATTAAAAATAAAATACCTACTTTTTTTTAAATCCAAATTATAAGGAATGTTACAATTTTTATTTTTGTTTGTCCCAAAATAAATATTTATTTTAAAAAATAGATGATTAAATTCTTAAAGATATTTTTAATTAATCCTAAATTCAAAACTTTATAGATCGGCCGTCATGGTTGTCATTTTTGCATGATTGCCGTCTCTCTTTCTAACTTTGCTAACGGTCACTCCATTATTTTAGGGGTATTTGAGTTTTTTTACCCTCTCTCTTATTCTTTGTTATAATCACAAAAGATACTATATTTATATATTCTTTGTTATAATCACAAAAGATACTATATTTATATATTAAGATACAATTAGAAGCGTACTTGCATAATATAACGAGATACATCGTGATTTTACTATTTTATTTTATTCTTTATCTCAGTCGATGTTATAATATGCCTTTATGTGATTTTGAGAAAACGATAATGTTTTTATTTTTGAATAAAATATATGTTTGAAGATATCATAAAAAATTGACAAAAATATTTCGATATTAATATCAAATTAACTATTTGAAATTCCTCATTTTTTGTGTAATTTTTTAATTCAAATTTTTTATAATTTAATTTATGTACAATAACGAAGTAATTTGTATTTGGTTTAATAATATAATTTTTTTATAAAGATAATAATTATCTATTTTGTTGGAACTCGATAATTATTCTAATTATATTTTAGATTTTTTATATTTTAAAATAAGATGTCCATCCTCTATTTGATTATGTTTATCCGTAGTTATATATATGAATTCAAATATCGAGCTTTAATAAGTTGTACTTATGCATAATTACTTGTAATCTTGAATTTTAAGTAATATGCATCAATATACAGTACTTTATGCATAACAAAAAATATATCGATATTCGTATCAAATTAACTATTTAAAATTCCTCATTTTTTGTGTAATTTTTTAATTCAATTTTTTATTATAATTTAATTTAGGTACAATAACGAAGTAATTTATATTTGGTTTAATAATATAATTTTCTTATAAAGATAATAATTAATTATTTTGTTAGAACTCGATAATTATCTAATTATATTTTAGATTTTTTATATTTTAAAATAAGATGTTTATCCTCTATTTGATTATATTTATCCGCAATTAGTTATACGAATTCAAAAATCGAGCTTTGATAAGTTGTACGTTTGCATAATTTACTTGTAATCTTGAATTTTAAGTAAACATTGGTTTTATGTGGTTTTGAGAAAGTAATAATATTTGTATCATGTATTTGATTGTATTTATCTGCAGTTAGTTACACGAATTCAGATATGAGATGAAATTGGATAGGGATGAAATTGTTTAAGGATGAACGGGTTTAAGAGTTATTAAAAGTTTTAGTCAAATGCTTTATAAGATAGTATAGATAAAAATTAATTAGTATTTACCGATAATTTTCTGTTATACTAGATTTATCTTTATCTCTTAAATTTTGTTATTATTATCACAGACTTTTTATGTCAATGCGTCCGCGGTAGATAATGATGTGATAATGCTGTGATAATTATCTGGTTTTTTCGTAATAATAATGTGATAATGATTGATAAGTTGAAGACTTTTTATGGTGTAAATTCGATGTGATAATCATCTAATAATTATGTGATTTTTGTTGTGATAATCACGTCTGCATTCATTACTTTGTCTGTCCATTATGTGATTTTAATGTGATAACTATTTGATACTGATTAATATATTATATGTATGTGAATTTAGAAATAAGGACGTCACCAAAATTACAGATAAATACGAAATCACATGATTATCCTTAATTAATTAGTTTATTTTCTTTTAATTTAATTACGGGTTAAATAATTTGGAGGCCAATAAATATTATTGTATTCTCGTAAAGCATGAGTGTTCTCATTTGAACCTCCACCTTTGATTATACACACACACATGTGTATGTGTATAAAGAGATGCATATTCTTTTGTTAACTAATGCATTGGTATTAACTTTACAAACTCATCTAAGCCGTTTATTTTGGTTATGATCAAATGAGATATTATAGAGTGATTAAAAAGGAAACATATTAAAATGGAATTAAGTCGAGGGTAATTTTGAACTTATGTCCTATTTTTGGAATATAATTATAACCTCATTTATCCGTAAATAAGTGGGTTTCATATTTGAAAATTGTTTGATGCATTTATGGTTTTGATTAATTAGGTTTCATCTATAAACTTTGATTGTTCCATTTCTTTTACCAAAATTCATTAGTGAAACTAGAGAGTTCATAAATAAAACAATGATTTTTGTTTAAAGTATATAGGTGAAAAATAATTTTACTTTAAATTTCATAAGTTTTCCGTGTATGAACTTTGATTGTTACAAATTTTTTACTAGAGTTTATAAGTGAAACCAGAAAATGAATTAGATAATTAAGAATATTTAATAGAGTTCGTAGGTGAAACCAGAAGGTTCATTAGTGAAACAATGATTTCTATTTAAAATTCATATGTGAAAAACAATAAATTTTGTTTAAAGTTCATAGGTGAAATAATGATTTTTTTCATAGGTGAAACAATGATTTTTGTTTCGTCTTGAACTTTGATTGCTCCAAAAAATTTTTTATCAAAGTTCATAAGTGAAACCAGAATATGAATAAGATAATTAAAAAAGTTTAAACAAGTTGATAGATGAAACAATAAATGAAGAAACTTTAAGTAATATTCCTTAGTGTAAAATGAATATGATAATTAAGTGAAGAAACCAAATATTTTAGTAATATGATAATCAAATAATGTAATAATTAAGTGAATAAAATATTTAAGAAATGTGGTATCAATGTATAAAAAAATAAAAATACACCAGTTAACAAACTTAATACTAATTGTTTGGTTAACAAAAGAAGAGGACCTTATATATATGTATGTGTGTGTGTGTGTGTATATATATATATATATATATGTGTGTGTGTGTGTGTGTGTGTGTGTATGTATATGTATATGTATATAGACTTGGGATCACGTGAGATCAACCTGTTTTTGTGAGACCCGTGAGACCAGCTTTTTACACTTGAAACTTCACAGAAAAATGTTGTGAAGGTAACCTTCACAGTGTTTTTGTTGTAAAGGTTCGACTTTTGTAAACCTTCACATTGTTTTTGCTGTGAAGTTTCAAGTGTAAAAATATGGTCTCACGAAAACAGACTGGTCTCATGTGAACCCAACCCTATGTATGTATCTATATATATATATATATATATATGTATATATATATAGGGGCCTAATCAAATGAGAACTAATTAGTTTGTGGTAACTGTGAGAACCAATATTAACCACAAATCAATAGATAAATTAGAAAATTTATAATTTTGGCAATTTTGAATTAAAATATTAATGCAAGGATATTTTTGGTATTTTAAAACTTTCCTCCCTCCTCTCTTCTCTCTCCGGCCACCGTCCTCCGGTGATACTACAATGGTATCACAATGCATCATATATGTGTTTGGGTATCACATTGATGTCGTTTGTGTGGTCGATCGAAGATGTAACACAGTGGTATCACTATGCATCTTATATATGATTAGGTATCACAATGTATCTTTTGTTTAATAGAGTCAATATTTTTAGGTATCACAGTGGTATCATAGTGGTATCACCGGAGGACGGTGGCCGGAGGCCGGAGAGAGAAGAGAGGAGAGAGGAGAGTTTTAAAATACCAAAAATATCCTTGCATTAAGATTTTAATTTAAAATTACCAAATTTATAAATTTCCTAATTTATCTATTGATTTGTGGTTAATATTGGTTCTCACAGTTACTACAAACAACTCAATTCTCCCTTGAATAGGCCCCTATATATATATCACCGTCGGCTTCCTCACACCCCCGGTCTCTTCCAGTTATAGCCGTCGGACTCCTTACAACGTCGATCCCCTCCAGTTCCAATCGTTGGACCATCCCACCGCCGACCTTCAACTCCGACCTCCTCTATTGTTGGCTTCCATCTTCGTCGTCCCCTACCTCCACCTATAACTTCTTTCTCTTTTTCTTTCTTATCTTTTCATCGATCCCCTTCTCCATAAACACAGATGTAAACTTCACCTCCTAAATCCAAAACCCTCTAGTGAGGAGGCTAGAGTTGGAGGTTGGTGGCGGGAGGGATCTAGCGAATTGAATTGGAGGGGGTTGGTGATGTGAGTTGGTCAGCTGTGGGAAGGGTCCAACGGTGTTAGGTGTCAAAGTGTGTGTGTGTGTGTGAATATATATACATATATATACACACAGAAGTTCCTCCGAAAAGGGAAGTTGAAATTGATTAACAACAAGAATATCTTCAAGTTTAAGGCATATCTCATCGGGATCTTGTAGTGAAGCTAAAAACCCTTCACATCCTTGTCAGACCATTGCTTTAATATTTATTTTGAGATAACACGAGTCCCCTTCTCAAGTGAAACACCTTGGAACACATATTCATGTTCATTGACGTCATCGAAGACGATTTGTTTGGCTTTGCAGTCGATGGTCACTCGATGTTTAGACAACCAATCCATGCCAAGGATGATATCGAAGTGATCCATTTTCATCGGTAGTAAAGTAACCTCCCGAATTTGATCACCAATAAATAACAGACAGTTTGAGAATTGACCAAGTATACATACTGAACTACCCATGGGAGTAGTAATATGTAACGGGAATTCAGTGGATTGTTCATACAGGGGTAATCAAATAAGAACTCGGTGGTTTGTGATAATCATGAGATCTAATGTGAGTTAATCATTTAAGATAATTAATGTTATTTTTTAAAATAAAGTAAAAGGGTAAATTAGTAATTTGATATTCCCATTTTTTATTTAGTTAAATTATTTAACAACTTTCCCTCTCTCTCTTTCCATATTCCCATTTTGTATTAATCAAATTATTTAGCTACTCTCTCTCTCTCTCTCT